CACACACACACACACACACACGCACTCGCAGGGAAGCGGACGATACGAAGAACGAGGGGATGGACTACAGGGAGAACGAAGAAGGTGAGTGACACTCACCGTGGAATCCAACAGCTTCTCGGCCGCGGCGTGTCGACAACAACATGGTGGCCGCGTCAAGAAGGACGCAGTTTCAAATCGTCGCGTCAAGGAGGGTAGGCAGTTTCAAATCGAATTCGAATTTCTGGCGCCTCACGGGTGTGGGGGCGTTGCAGAAAGACGGCAAAACCTGATGAGGGCATATGGCACAGGGCCCGACGGAAATGAGACCGCCATTCCAAAGAGGGCGTCTTGGAAAGTTGCGGTCATTACCGATAAGGGTCTGCCGAAAATATGTTTTGGCCGAGGGGCGCGACAGGGTAAACCGGCCGTCGGAGGGGCGTGACGTGAGTTATCGCAAAATACAGGGGCGCCGGACAAATTTTTCCTTTTTTTTTTTTTTTTTTTTTTAATGATGGTTTGCTTTCACCACCAGTACCTTTCCATGCTTGCCTTTCTATTCCGCGACTGTGAAGACAGCAGTACCGCGCCCAACCATCAAGTACGAGCCTTCTGCTACAGGTAAGCCGAGCCTTGTCGAGCCTTGCCGGTAGCAAATTCTTTTTTACTTTTAAAAAAAAGAAAAGAAAAAAAAAAAGAGGAAAACTAAAAAAAATAAACGAGATTCTAAAAGGAAGAAATAAAACACAAGAGAGAGATTGAGTTTTTACTTACAAACATGGAATGAATCTTCCCGCAAACTTTCTCGTATTCCATATTAGAACCCTTGATCGAGGAAGAGAGAGGGCCGACAATTTCAACGCGGCATTAGTCTTTACTTGCAAACAGGGAATGAATCTTCCCCCAAACTTCTCCGTATTCCATATTAGAACCCTTGATCGAGAAAGAGAGAGAGCAGACAATTTCAACACGGCATTCCGTGCAACGGGCCGACTCTCTCTCTCTCTCTCTCTCTCTCTCTCTCTCTCTCTCTCTCTCTCTCTCTCTCTCTCTCTCTCTCTCT